CAATGGACTGACTTAGTTAACTACCCTAATTTTAAGATTACAGATAAAAACTGATGGTTGGTCATGCTTGACTAGTTTTAGTAAATAATATTAATAAATAAAAATAATTAAAAATATATATATTTACTGGACGCGCAACATTTTTTGAACCTTTTCCTGACGGAAAACGTTATTTTTTAAGCAAAGCTTATATGTTTGGTCATTATTATATGAAAACCCATTTATTGTTTGACTTTCTGTGCCCTTTTTTGGATCCTTAAGACGCATGTTTAAATATTGCGAAATGGATACAAAATCTAGCTTCAGCCGACTTTCCTTTATTTTTCCCTCTACTTTCAGATTTTTGACCAGAAAGCCTGTTCTTCTTTATGACATTTATTTTCCATTCTTTGATTGTTCTTCATCGGGTTCATGAAAACTTGATGCTTTTTATGACTTAAACATTTCAAATTCGTTTTCCCAGTTCTAATTGTTTTTCCGCTCTCAACCCTCCAACAGGTCCGTTAACCTCATACTCATGCCGACAAACAACGGATGATTTTGGTAAAATATATTTCTAGTGAACAAAAAGCATAAAGTTCTTTTATTTGTATCTGTAATTGACTGCATACCACGCCCAAAAGTAATAAAAATCTACGTGTCTTGAAATATACAGGGTGGTAAATTTATTTCGGATGTTTATCTGAACACTAAACAGTTTACAACATATTGGGAAAAAATGGAAATTTTCACAGCTGTTGGGTTCCAATAGAATCCAATAGGTCTAGTGCTCCAATGGAACCTCCAGGCTACCCGCTGGCATGTTTTAATTTACAAAAACTTTCCCACAATCCTCCTTATGAACCTCCAAAGTTGTATGTTTTTATATATAAACTATCTTGTATGCACTCGACGTATGTTATTCCACAAAACAGATCGGTAGAGCTTGTAAAATTAAGACGATTTGACTATTTTAATGCGCAATTAATGTGTTTTAGGTTTTAGCTGCGAAACGTTTAGAAAAACATGTCGACTATTAAATCCTCTGTTTGCTTGACGAATTTATAATCACAAACGTTATCAGAAGATAAAATTGTCACTCCAAGGCATGGCTTGTCTTATCGTTGCCTGTAGTAAGTAATAATTCAGAGGTAAGTAACGGGTATTCTGGAAGTAAGTCGGTTGTGAAACGTTCACTGGTAAGCCTAAAATGCCGTGATCTATTCATGTTGCGTCAATTAAGTGCATTTATTTATATACATCCTTGGCAGTGGCAATTTGATGGCATCTTTCATCCTGGCTACAGATTAGATATGTTTTTATTCGTTCTGCCTCTCGTGTGTGTTACAACATTTATTTTTGGCTCACTTTTTCCTAATACTCTGTACGCAAATTTGGTCATAAAACTCTGAAAGTCAAACGCTCGCGGTGCGCAACACGCATGTGAAAGTTTGATTTTTAGTCGAAATTTTTCAAAGGGTGGAGGTCGATTTTTTGAAAAAATGAACATTTTTTCAAACCGTGAAATTTCACATCATTTTCAGCTCACACACCCGAGGAATGCATCGAACTCATTGAAAAACATGGTAAAAGTGTCAGATCCAAATTAATAAACATTTTCGGCACATTTAAAGCGTTTCTTGAGCGTTTACGATCTTTAGCCGACGATTTCGTCCTTATTATTGACTGATACAATTTATAAATGCACATTTATGACCTTCTTATGTCGAAAGGAATCGATTGAGCTCAAAAAACCCGCATGTGAAATTTTCATTTTTGGCCGAAATTTTTCCAAGGGTGGGGGTCGATTTTTTGAAAAATGACAATTTTCTCAAAATGTATTAAATTTCACATCATTTTCATCTCACGGACGTGAGGAATGCATCAAACCCATTGAAAAACTTGCTAGAAGTTTCAGATCCGAATAACAGACATTTTCGGTACATTTTAAGCGTTTTTTGAGCGCTCACGATCTTTAGCCGACGATTTCTTCCTTATTCTTGACCCAAACACTTTTTAAATGCATATTTGTGACCTTTTTACGCCGAAAGGAATCTATTGAGCTCAAAAAAAACGCATGTGAAATTTTGATTTTTGGTCGAAAATTTTGAAAGGGTGGAGGTTGATTTTTTGAAAAAATGAAAAYTTTYTSAAAATGTGTTAAATTAATTTAATCGAAATAATAGACATTTTCGGCACATTTTAAGCGTTTTTCGAGCGTCAAAGTCCAAAGACCAAAAATAATTTAAATTGAATGCGCTTTCTAACAGATGAGGAATTTTTTTCTAATACCAAAAACTGTTAGTTTTYCKSGGCTTSAAAASCCRCAAAAGGACCCAAMATCGCTTCACCTGTTTAAAACACTTTTTTTACTTATTTTCCGGACGCCCTGTATATTTCTGTAGAAATTAATGAGAGTGATATAATGCCGCTGTTGAAGTTTTTGCAGCGTTTGTGCCCGTTTGAACTAAACATTTTTTTCCGGTTATGCTTGAATTTTACATCAAATGTTTTCTTTACAAACGATTTTATTTTTATTAAGTGTCAAAAAAATTAACATTAAATTTAAATTAAAACTAAATTTCGAAAAATTATTTGCTAAACCGCGTGCAAAATTCGAAAAATCTAAATTTCATAATTTCCGAGAATCTTGGCGATGAACTGAAAAACTGCTGATCGCATAATCGATCAGTAAATTTTTGAGCAATAAAATAGTCCGTTGAGTGCAAAAGTTTAGGCGAATAGGCGTTTAGGCTGCAAAGCGCATTCACTCGCACTATATCCATTATCTCGAAAACGGTGCTTTTCACGAAAATTTGTCAACATTCCAAAATTAATCAAAATTGAATGGGCTTTATAACGCCACCCCACGTTTTGTTTAATCACAACGGCAGTCAGAGTTTCCAGGCTCCAAAAACTAGCACTAACCAGTTTCTGCTGAATAAAACGCATTTTTCTGGGTTTTAATTCGCGGACACCCTGTATATGTAGAAACAAATAAAAATCGGGTAAAATAGCGCTGTTAAACATTTTCGGGTTGATAAACCGCCAAAAAACGTACTTGACTAGCATATTCCGCACTTGGAAAAATATCTTTGGCGCGAGACAAATTTCTAGCTTAAAAAACCGCGACTATTTTCAGCCGAGTTGTATGAGGAAAAATCAAACTTTGGCGACATTTCCATCATTTTGAGTGAGTGGCAACCCACTCATCTCCCTCAACATCCAGTCAAATGAACATAATAAAATATATTTTCAGGTATTCCAGTTGAACCCGACACGGCATCCCTGGTCCAAGGTGAATTAAAATTGGCACTGCCTGATACACGAAATTATCTCGAGCATCGTCGTCGTCGTTGTGTGTAAACACTGATTCAACCGTACGAAAAACCTGCACAACAATCGCTCAAATCCATTTATCAAATCTTGAGGAACTAAGCTTAAACAGTGCTAAGATATCTCGCGGTATCCAAAGGGGTTGCTTTCGGTCATGTCAGTGCCATTCTTAGGAAGGCGTCGTGTAAGTGAAAATATCAATTTTTTTTTAAATTATTATCGATAAGGAACATCAAGACCTGTTAAGCTCAACCGCCCAAAGCTTATTTTTCAAAATTACTCAATCAGAAGAGCACGCTTTTATTTACTTGGCACCTGCCGGTCAAAAAATTACATTGTGAGGTGATTCACGTTTTTCTTTTATTCTTTCTCATGGGAAATTTGCCTGGAGGGACTTTTCAACAGTCAAAAAAAGTTTATTTGTTACTTATTGAAAAAGGTTTTTCAGTTTACGGGCATGATTAAGCAACATTTTAAACGCGAGCTGGACAGACAAACAATTGCATTTAAGAGCGTTTAGACCGCAAAAGTCCCCCTTTTTAATCTGTAAATTACTAGATTAAAACGCGCATTCAATGCAAAGTTAGTGGAAATTGAAAAAGCTTCAAATGTGAAACGGTGCTCAACCTTGTGTAAATAGACCTACTTTAATTGTAACTAATTTTATTTAATCGGATTCATTATCAGCACTTGCATGATAGTAACCATACAGAATGCACTTATATTTCCTGCAAAATTTTTGATATTTTAAATTAATATTTGCACAAATTTCAATAGATTGGGGCCATTATTATACGAAACTGCGGAGTTTTTCGGGCTTTTAGGTCGCCTTGAAAAAATTCCTCCTGAGCTGTTTGCCTGAAAGCCCGAAAAACATACCAGTTTTATTGTTTGACTCAAAACATAGAGTAGGAATTTGTCCACAAATTGCATTGGATTTTCACGGAAACATGCGGATTTTTTTTACAAAAGTACGCATTAGAATCTTTAAAATTACCGTTGCAGCCAATCTAATGCTTGAACAATTTAGCATAACTGGAATTTTAATTCATTTTTGTTTTTACTTGCAGAGTTCTTCCATTAAAAAGGAATTTTCGGAAAAAGAGCTGAATGGTAAGAGACGGTATTTTTGTATAATTTTAACTAATTAAAACGCTTGGTGATCCGGAACTCGCACACAGTCTTATTTATTTCTGTGTGTGTGCAAAAAGGTGGAATTAAAAGGCGTTAAAATGGGTTTAAAATCCTTAACATTAAAGCATTAAAAGCACTTTTTACGCTTTCAAACTCAGTTCTTCAACAAAAAATTCTTTCGATTCTTTTAAAGATCGTAAAATCTGCGACCTGAATGCATTATGAGATCATCCTAATCTCTGGGATTTTCTTGACTAAACTTGAACTAATTGAGCAAGAAAGATTACTTTTAACAAATGAGCAAACGTGATAAAAGTGTTAAAGCAGGTGTTTGCTGCATGGAATTCCGTACTGGAAAGATAAATATGGCAATAAAAGCGATGAGTCAAGTGAACACTTGCAGTTAAGAAAAATTGCGAAATCTTCGGCGCAACAATTTTACAGTTGGTTTTAAGCTGCTGGAAAATGCGGTAAAGAGCAGTTTTTCTCCATCGATTACTAATAGAAAATGACTACAAGTTGTGGTGCTGGCAGATATTCAAAAATGCTGTTTCCACCGAAATAAACTGCAAGGTTTAATTTTAGCGATAAATATTATATTTTTGGAAAATGTTCCAATTTCAATCACCAAACATTTATACAAATAGGCAAACTAAATATTTTGACGGCGATTTATGTTCGATTCTTAACTGAATTCGTCGCGTTCATCACAAATTCCCACAATTTTCACTTCTCGGTTGAATTGGAAAACTAACAAAATATCCTAAGAAATACACTTATTAATAATTGTTAATAAAAAAACTAAAATCATTCAAAACAGCTGGTTTCTTTCAATTGAATCGTTTTTTATTTTATTAGTTTGCCCATTGATTTTATAAAAGTTCTATAAAGCATAATAATAAAGAATCAGGTTTTGGTGGCAATTGCTTGAAACCGATGAGTTTTGCAGACCTTCCTGCTTAAAGCCCCGAAAAACTCAACAGTTTTTTAAAATTGTTGCAGAATTGAGAATAGCGTTCGATCTTCTAGATCGGAATCAAGATGGACAGGTGACGACAAGAGAATTTAAAATTATGTTGAACAATTTGGGAATTGACCTTAAGCAAAACAAAGTCGATGAACTGATACGAAGCGCGAGCCATGCAGGTGAGGGCAAACATTGATGCTGGTTAAAAAAACAGGAAAACCACTCAAAGAAAGCGTAATCAATTCTTTGAACTTTATTTATTTGACTAAACTTTACATGGCCCTCTCAGGAAAGGAACTAATTGACGAGAACGACTTCTTAAAGTTCGTCAAACAAATCCAAGATTTGTGTGATCTGAGAAATTCCAAAGACGACGACGAACAGGATTTAGTGGCGGCGTTTACGGTTTTCGATATGGATAACGACGGATACATCACAAAAGACGAGCTGAGAATAGCAATGGAAATGATAGGAGAAGAGGTGAGTGAGGATCAACTAACACATATTATGGAAGTGGCGGACACTGATAAGGATGGAAAAATCAACTATGAAGGTACAGAATAAATTACCTAAGTCTAGAACTAATGGCGCGGTTTTAATAGTAACAAATCAGTCAATCTTATTTTAGAATTTGCCCAGCTGCTGTCGTAAGGAACTTCCGCTTCTTAAACAACCAACTAGGAAAACACTTGGAAACAAATCCGTTCAGGGTTTTCTGCATCAACTACCAAACTACTTTCATTTAAAAGAAAACCATCAGTTTCAAACGTACAAGGAAAATTTATATGGTCTCTCTAGATAAAACCACCTCCAACAGAAAACCCTGTATAGGAACAAAAAACTGCATTAATACCTACAAAGCATTATTATGTACAGTCCAGGCGCTGGATGTATGTACACATTGTTATTCTAATTCTAGGATATGTATTTGGACTATATTATGATATGAAGTAGTATTGTGAATACAAGACTGATGTAGCTTTAAGATTGCATGTGACAATAAAATACGTTGATTGTCCGAACCATCCATTGAAAAAGTAAACATTTCGGAGAGTTTTCGGAATACGAACTGTATACTAAATCCGTAACGGAACAAGAACCTATCTGGAACATAACATTTTTCGTCAAACTGTCCGTGGCAAGTAATGGTTACTGCCATATTCTCTGCTGCTTGCAAACGACTGCGCCAGCTTTTCCTTGTGACTGCTAGTGAGCAAGAAGATCGCAACAATGGTGATCCCAAAACCGCACGAAGCCCCTAAAATGCTCGTCACTTCCATGCTGGCCCATTCTCTGAACAAAATCGCCGAAACCACTATCACCATCGTGGTAAACATTACGTAATACACCGGGGTGACTATGCTGGTATCAAACACATCCAGGGCCTTATTCAGGTAATTCATTTGGAGGCAAATGAAAGCCACTGCTACTAGTAAGAAGATCGCAATAATCCACACGTCATGAGCAGGCAGGACTCCTAAAAAAACGCATTTTTCTTTAACATGTCGTCACCTAGCTGACCAATTTACCAGTTATAGAGTTCCGGATCGCCAGCCCAAGGCCTTTGCAGGCCATAACAGTTAGGCTGCCCACTGCTGAGCATAAGGCAACATACACTGAAACGTATCGGTTCCCATATCGTGGCCCCAGGAAGAAAATTATAGAGATAACAATGACCGAAACAATGAAAGCATAGTAGAGAAAGTCTGCCTCTGCTAGTCGACTGAGCAGATCGTCAACTGTGCTGAATTCTGCCTCGTGCGGCGAATGGATCACAACCACTACAGATCCCAAGACGCAAAGTATACAGCCCATCTGCAACAGTTTACAAAAATGTATTTTTGCTGGAGGCAAAGGGACTTTTGCAGGTTGAGTCGGTTACTGCGCTGACCTTTCCATTGGTATTTAACGTCTCGTGCAGGAATTTTGATGCTAAAACTGCCGAAACTAAAACACTCAGGGCTCCTAATGGTGTAACCAGGGAGGCTGGAGCAAAGGCATACGCCCCGAAGTTAGCCAATTCGCCCACTCCCACTGGAAAAGCCAAACAAAGTTACTTAAGACATGTATAGCAAATCTGTTTTGGTTTCTTTTAGATAAACCCTGATAACATTTAGGAATGTTTTCCGGGCTTTGAAGCCGTGGTCTATGGGAATTTCTTCCCGACGTTTCGTCCACAACTGCGGTGGACATTTTCAAAGGCGATGAGGCAGTGGGCAAAGTGATCTGCCGTGCTTTCTGACTAAGACAGTCTGAGTCCTAGTCAGAAAGACTTCTTCTGAAAAGCCTTCGCCCACTGCCTCATCGCCTTTGATAATGTCCACCGCAGTTGTGGACGAAACGTCAGGAAGAAATTTCCATAGACCACGGCTTCAAAGCCCGGAAAACATTCCTAAATGTGATTTAACCGGCCGTGAGCCTTCATAAACCCTGATAAGCTTGCCTTCAAGTAGGACTCTAAGTGGGCTGATATAAATTGACTAACACTATAGCTGTGGCAGGCCCCAACCGTATTATGGGCATTAATCTACCTAATATTGCCTGAATTTCCACTCACTTGTTAAAAGTCCTATCCACCATGTCCAGTCTTTGAGGTAGCCAAAGCCCCCGGCTGACGCCCGAAGCCCGACCTTGTTCAACCGTTTCAAGGAGATTTTCTTAATAATAAAACTAGAGCCGATAAATATCGAGGAACTAAGAGCCAAACATAGGCCAATATAAAAGTCGAATTCACTCTCTCCTTGAGGACTGGAAGTCTTCGAACTTATAACGCCTGTGGAATCCATTATTGCGGATTTTCACATTAACGAACACACTTAATCTGTACTGATAACTATTACTCACTGCAGGCTCTAATCTCGATAATAAAGTGATAAATAAATTGAGCTAGTGGAATGATACAACGTAAACAGAAAAGTAGGGTTAACACTCATTAGCATCAAACATGAGTGGCTGGAGGCGAACCGGTGGACCAGCTGCTTATCTCTTTCCAATTCACGTGAATTAACGGCTTAAAACAACAGGTCTTTGTCTGTGATGGTTTAACCTTGTCTCCTACCTGCCACTTTTGACAACGTCAACCATAAACAACAACCTATGTTTATTTGTTGTTATTTTACCAGCAATGTTTACAATTTTCAATATTTATCCCGCATTTTAAAAGGTTGGAATCACCAGTAGGAGGATGGCAAATGTAACGCAGATCAGTTTAGAGTCATTGCTGCGTAAGTGCAGTTTATGGTGAATTGTCACTGATTAATAGAGTACTTTTTGCCCTTGCAGTGAGGGCTACGAACCCAAACAACCCGGAAGTAGATACCGCAGCCCTAAATGCGTTTTATGCCCTGATCAATAGGGAAAAGGACGGGCCTCCTTTGGGCGTCCGCGTCATAGCCAGCCGCCTTCCAGCTGGGTGTGAAAAGGAAGTTCTTTCAACTTTAAATGTTCTGGACGCCTGCATGCAGAAATGCGGCTCAGAATTTCAAAGCGAAGTTGGGAAATTTCGGTAAAATAACTGAGCCAAGCTCATCAACCTCTACAACCTCTTTAATGCTTAGGTTTCTGAATGAGATGATTAAGTTGGTTTCTCCGAAGTATCTGGGCTCCAAAACCCCCATTTCAGTGAAACACAGAGTGTTGCAACTGCTCTATCTGTGGACGTTGGATTATCCCACGGAGGTGAAAATTAAGGAGGCTTTCGATATGCTAAGGAAACAGGGAGTGATTCGTGAAATTCCAAACCCCAACATTCCCCAGGAAGCGTTGGGTAAGTGGATAGATCGAAGGGGCGTTTTAAAGTTGACTATCTAGGTTTAATCATTATTATCTATGGAGTTATTTTAGCGAGCAAAATCGCTCACTGGTGAGAGCTTGATTTGATTTTTTCGGTTGATATGTTGCAGGCATAGAGCCCAAGAAAAGAGTGGGTAACTCAATATTCCAAGACGAGGAAAAGGCGAATATTTTGCGGAAATTGCTGCAAAGCAAAGGCCCAGAAGATATCCAAGCGGCTAACTGGTTGATCAAAAGCATGGTTAAAGAGGTACTGATTTAAAGTTACTTTAAGCTGATATTTGTTGCAAACTAACCCAAACTTTTTCACGTATTCCAGGACGAAAAGCTTGCCGATTTAAAAAGCAAAACCTTCTTCGAAATCGAGTCCTTTCAGAACAATGTAAAATTGCTAAACGAAATGGTCGGTTCATACAAAACAGAGGACACTACCAGAAGCGAACTTGACTTAATGAGCGAACTGCATGATAATCTAATCAGATTTAAACCGAATTTGGAATCCATCGTCTGCTCTGACCAGAACTGGCCCATGGATTTGATCGGTAAATTTTGCCCGATCTTTCACTCATTTTGTGTTGAAAAATGCGTTTTAGAATCGGTTCTGAAAACCATCGATGATGTGAGCGAATGCTGTAAACGATACAAGGAGACAGTGCATGATTCCAAAGGAAGCAACTTTACGTCTTTGATGGAACTGGATCAACAGTCTGTGGCAGCGGCGTCTTCGGCAACATTTATTCAAATGGACAGCGTTAAAGAACCGAAAAGCAGCACTGAGGACTGTTCTTGCAGGTAGATTTTTAACTGAAGGTGCTGTCCGGTTTTAAACCTTTGTCTTCAGCAGCCAGATTAGCAGCAACACTTCCAAGTCGTCCATGGACGTTTTGTGCGATGTTTTCTCTGGCTTGGGTGATGTTGCCGAAGACACCATTTTGCAGCCGGTTCCCGTTGCTGCAAACGCTGGTAGCTTGAACAATTACAATCTTTCGACAAAGACAATCTACATTTCTCCGTTTGTTTTTTAGAACAAGCTCCTGTGGACAAAGGCAAAAACCTCCATAAAAAGGTGAATGCTCTGGAAGATCTGGACGTTTTAAGTGAGCATTTGCTGAAAGAAAACATTCCTTTGTCGAATTATCGGTAAGTTAAATTGCGCAAACAGCAACTTTTTTTTTACCCAAAGTGTGTACCATTGCAGCAACCAGGACAAGGTGCCCATGAACCTGCTGACGAAGATAAACGAAGTGAAAAAATCACAGGTGCAAAGTCAATCAGCCAAAGTGGACTTGAACTATTTACTGCCGAATTCCAAGAGTGCGTCTTCAAGCTGTTCAAAGTCCGAGGAAAACTTGAGTCAATTAGACAATTCGGATGATTGTTTGGTGGATATAAGCGAGGATAAGGACACTTTGAGCGTGCTGGAAAAAGACCACGGTTTAGAACCGTGTAAGGATCAAAAACACGTGAGCAATGGAACTGGTTTGACAACGAAAGAGGCTGAGAAGGGTATAATTGATGCTTAAAATCAATGATTAGATTTGGTCATGGGGGATTTTCCAGATCGAATGCGACCTGCGATTAAACTCAACGACATTTCAATGAAGCTGGAAGACATCAAGCCGAGTTCAGGGAAGTCAATTGTTGGCTTGGACGATAAGAACGGATTGTGCATCCTGCTGCATAAGGCAGCAGACGCTCCAAAGCCCCTGGTTGCTGTCTATGTCGTCACTACGATAAGCAGAAAAGCGTTGGCTTTACAGAACTATTTGTTCCAAGCCGTTGCTCCGAAGGTACATTTAAAAAATCCTAATATTTTGGAGATTTCAATTTTTTTCAGGGTTGCAAATTGCGGCTTTTGCCTCCTTCAACCACTGATCTGCCCGCGTTCAACCCTTTCCTACCTCCAGCGGCGATCACCCAAATTCTCCTGATAGGAAACCAGGATAATCAAAAGGAAATAAGCCTCAAGTTCGTTATCAGTTACGTTATGGACGACGAAACTGTGACTGAAATGGGAGAGGTGCCGAATCTCCCTTTGGAGTCATAAAGATGGGGTTTTCATGGGATTTATTGCAATTTTAATTCTGTAAGATAAAGACTGTTAAAACGTTTTTTTTGGTGAATATTTGCCTTTGTATAACCGTATAGCATTATATAAGAAAACCTTCCTTGCAGGTGCTTTAATGACGAGTTGTATATTCAAGAGCACTTATGTAACAGCTAGTGAATACGCGTTGGAAGCAATGCTTTAAACTGTCTAGCAACTAGGTTGATTTCACCATTTTGTGATTGTTTTCTGTGATCTCTGAGTTTATACGTTTTTGTGTTTGTTGTATTTATTTTTTTATTGCGTTAGTAAAAGTATTCGTGTAAAACAAGCAGTTTTCCAATCTTGTCCCTAATAATTGCATGTGGAAAGCGGATGCGTTGCTTAAATAAACACAAATCGCATACTGTGTTAAATGCGTGACTGGGCTAGAAACTTATCGCAAGATTTGCAACCAAACTGGGCAAATATTTGTTGGGGGTCCGTCAATCTTTTACTATTGAGCAATATTTGCGCTTCGCAATACTGATATCAACTCTAAAAACACAATAAATGTTTATGAAGTGCTTTAATTCCCCGATTAAATAGGTTTGCTCAGGCTTTTATCTGTTCTAGTTGAGATGCGCCAATCTTTTTTATGTTAATGAAAAAAATCGCGTTATGTCGCAAGGCCTACAGGCCAAGCCTGTAAGGATAAAGTTGAGGTCTAAAACCTTGGAGAGATAATAATGAGGCCATTTTTTTGAGGGGCTTTGAGTAATAAGTAACGGATTTTGCTATCAAACGCTAGAGAAAGTTGAGTATTTTATTCATCAATTTCTGATTTTTTTGGGATTTCAAGCCGCAGTACGTTGAGAAACGTCGGGAAGAAATTCTTGCCAACGACTCTTTCGCTTAAAACCCCGAGCAACTCAGCAGTTTCAAGTAACCGGGGCGAAAACGTAACAATTTACTGACAAATTAGCTGCATTTTGGATCGCTAAATCTGCACAAAATTCTACGCCATTAATGTGTAACAAAAATTTTCCGAAAATCAATTAAATAAATGTATTCCATATATTTGCTGCTGATTGTTTGCCTCATAAATGCATGTATGCAGCTGTTTGTTTGTTTTTAAAAACTGTAATTAATAGAAATTCTAGATTAGATCAGTTGACGGTCTTCGGATAGAATTCTTTTGCAGTCAATTAAGCGACTTTCAAGGGCATTTAGCCAGATAAAAGGTAACTCGCACTGCAAGTCGAAGACCCTTTTCCCCGTCTTTTCAGCCTGCGTACAATTGAGTGTTCCTTGCAAGCACCCAGGGTGAATTTTCGTACTCCGGTCGGTTGGACTAGATTGTTATTCTTCCAAGTGTCGATTTTTCCTTTGAGTCACAAACATGTTATTCTGGTAGAGTGTGCTGAAATGCGTTGTTTTTGAGCTGGTTATCTATAAAAGCTACAATATAAAGCTGCTGTATTTAGTTAATATTTGCTCACTTTATGGCCTCCCATCTTAACACAAAACCTCTTCAATACCAAATATTTTGCTAAATCCTGCGTATATAAATGATGGAAATGCATCTTGTCATTGCTTTGCTCGTCTTTGCGTGTGGAAATAGTGATGATAACGTTCTACAGTGATTAGAAGATTTCGTCGGAAATTTAGTGATAACCCCTGGTTGGCCAAAGCCATCGATTTTACATTGCAACATTCTTCAGTTCGGTTTCACTCTAAAGTTCGGACATTCGGCTGGTGAACATGGTGGTGAAAAATGTGAATATTTTCCAGGAAACTGGCACACAAATTTTGGCATCAGTTACAGGTAAAGATTGCGATTTTCCAAAAAGGGGGCTCAGTTAATGGGGATATTTTGGGTTTCCAGGTACTTTGGTGGCGGCCTCAGATGGCATGTCTTTTGGCTGGACCTCACCCATGGTTCCTTATCTTCTGAGTGAAGAATCTCATATACGGACGACAGTTTCTCAGGTAAATTTCTCTTATCAGCATTTTCTCTAGTTTTCCTACCTTGGCCTCAAGCATTGGATTCTTCAATAAAAATGTGCAAAATCTGGGTCTTTTTCGCGTGAGGTTGATTTTTCCAAGACCAAAGTGTTTTTTGCGATTAGCATTTTTTGAATACCTGCTTTATACAATTAACTAAACCAAGATCTAGAATTTTCACGCTTTGGGTTTTTTTGATACAAGCAACCGCTTTCGAGAAAATCACTGTTAATGGAACTAAGAACCAAAAAGAACAAATTGGTCCTGGGCTTCAATCGCATATTCTGACCATTTTCAAACATTTTCCTTCAAATTGTACATTTTTGAATAAAACTGTGTACCCTTAAAGCGATTTTGCTCAATCTATTTATTAAGAAAAATATTATTGAGTTCACTTTGCGTGGAGATTCAGAATCACGCACTAAAGAGCCAAAAACAGTTTCATGTTTCTGGCAACTTTCAATGTTGAGAAAGCCTTGAGAGCTTACGGGTACACATATACAGGGCGATCCTTTAATGGCGTGCCTTTACAGACAGTGAAACTTGAGAAGAAGCTTTAAAATGTTTAGGCCTTTCTAGTGCATGCAACTGAAGCTTTCAATTGGCTTTTGCTCATCCACCCTGTATATGCTGGTAGATAATAGAATGTTTTATGCATTTGCAAATTATTTTCGTATAATGTGCAATAAAGTTAATGCAAATACTCCTGTCGCAAATGAAGGTCGCGAATGCATAGCGCAAATAATGGAAAATTTCCATATAAATCCCCATTATTTAAAAATAGTTTATTGAGGTTTTCAACTGGTATCAGCTAAGCAGCCTGAGGATGGCATTATCTTGTGCTGGTGAAACATGGAAAACATATCGTTTTAGGCAGAATGGTTGGAAACAATAACTCTCATAGGAGCATTCTGCGGCCTCCCTTTCACCATCTATTTCGTGGACAAAATTGGACGAAAAAAGTCGCTTCTTTTGGCCGCCGTTGTGGTTTTACTCAACTGGATCGCCATAGGATTAGCGAATAGAATAGAATATATTTTCGTCGCCAGGTGAGTGGATCCGGATAGCACAGTTAATTAAACCAAAAAAAAAAAAACAATGTTTTTAGATTTTTTTCGGGAATGGCAGGCGATATGTCGTTCGTAGCAGCCCCAATGTATATAGCGGAAATAGCAGATTCGAAAGTTCGCGGATTTCTTTCATCGATCATTTACATAATGATGCTGATCGGGCTGCTTTTGGTTTACTGTCTGGGACCTTTTGCGCCCTTCTATTCCATCCCCATGGTTGGCTGCTTTCTCGCAGCCACTCAACTGTTGGTCTTCACGTTTCAACCTGAATCTCCGTATTATTTAATTTATAAAAATAGGTAAGTTGCTGTTAATAAATAGGAAAATTGGTAAGGCAATGTTTATAGTTATTAGCTCTTGAATCAGGTCAATTTTCCGTTATTTGCTATCAAAATTTTAATGGAACGTTTCAGTTTTAGATTAACCGCGAGAAAAACAACTCGACAAACAAACCCAATTGAATTAATTCATTAAAAACATCAACTTTTTTACTTTCAGTGCTTTGTGTTTCTATTGCAAATTTTCGCTTGCGGTCCTAAAAAGTTCAAACTCGACCTGCAGTTTTTGCTTATTAAAGTAATCAATAGTGGCCACAATAATGTTTTAATCAATTTCGCTCAAATCATGACCCCCCATTCAATTCTCTATCCAACGATGCCAAAACGAATTCTGTGGCTCAAATGGTTCTTGAGAAACCTCGAAAAAAGCAGCGTCATGTTCAAGTGGATTTTGCAACTCAAAAAAAAATTACGCAAATCTAAAACTTCTTGAATTCAA